GCTGGCTTTGAAGTCGTGATCCCAGCCCCCATAGCCTCATCAGCATTTCCTCCTGAACATGCCGAAGTTGCTTATGTTTTTTATTTTTGCTTTGAGACAGGTCTCTATGTGTAGTTCCGACTGGCTTTGAATTCCAGATCCTCCTGCCTTAGTCTCCCTAACGTTAGGATTATGTGTTACTATGCCCTGCTTGGATCTCTTGGGGGGCAGGGGAATCAGATTTCTAAACAACAGACCTGCCTTCCCACAGTTGATTGGAATCACAGACCTCTGGCCACCCTGGGCCATGTCTGAGCATGGGTTCTGCCATTTCTACCTCTTCCTTCAAGGATTCTAAATTGACCATGTCAGCTGCTATCAGAGGGCAGAAGTGTGTGTTTCCCGGTTACATTGTCTCCATTCAGACCCTGAGCAGCTTGGCCTCTTGTAAATAACTCTTTCTCACGGGGTCCCAGTGGTCCTCATGGGTTGCCATGTGGAGTAAGTAAGATGGAAACTGTGTATTTTAGAACTCATAAATGTTGGCTGTAACTGGTAGTCAGTATTGCTATATATTGATTCTTTGTCCATTTACGGAGCTTCCCTGACCTCTGTGGCACTTGAGCTTAGAAAAAACCTGGGATCAAGGATTTGGTGGCCTCACCTTCTCCCTGCTGGCTGTCGCAGTACCTGCTGTACAGCAGACTGACTACAAGGTTGGGAGTCTTCCAAGGCCACAGACCGACAGACCTAAGGGCTTGTTCTGCTTGCTACTCCTGCGGGGACTGGGCCTTGATTAGTACCACACAGGGTGGGAAACGCTAAGTGAGAGACTGTAGCTCTTTTGGTTTAGTTCACACGAGCCAAGTTTTTTAAAAGATATATTTATTTATTTAGATTTATTTATTATATATGCTTGTATGCCAGAGGGCGGTACCAGATCTCATTATAGATGATTTTGAGCCACCATGTTGTTGCTGGGAATTGAACACAGGAAGGACTTCTGGAAGAGCAGTCAGTGCTTTTAGCCTCTGAGTCATCTCTCTCCAGTCCTACAAGATAGTTCTCGTCCCCCCCCCCCCTCTTTCTTTAGTTTAGTTTTGTTTTTGTTTTTCGAAACATGGTTTCTCTGTGTAGCCCTGGCCGTCCTGGAGCTCACTTTGTAGATCAGGCTGGTGAGAACTCACAGAGATCCGCCTGCCTCTGCCTCCCAAGTGTTGGGATTAAAGGTGTGCACCACTACCGCCTGGCTTTCTACAAGTAGGTTTCCTTTGACTTTTTAAGACAGAGTTTGTCTATAGCTTTGAAGCCTGCCCTGAAATTCACTCTGTAGACCAGGCTGGCCTTGAATTCACAGAGATCCTCCTCTCTCTGCCTCCTGAGTGCCGGGATTAAAGGCATGCACCGCCACTGCCAGGCTACAAGGTAGTTCTTAGCAAATGGCTGGTATTGTCTTGTGAGCATTGTTCCTCTCTGAGGCTATAAACTCAGATGCCTGGCCTTCTGTACCTTCCTTTGGAGTTCCCCCACTCTCTCCTGTCCTGTGCATGCTTGTTCTGTGGAGATTAAGACCCCACCCAGCTAGGGACACATAGAGAAGGGACCATAGGGAGGGCAGACAGGAGCTCCCCAGCTACTCTGCCATTTTCTTGGCCCTGCTGCCCTTTAGCAGATGATCACGGGGTAGTCACAAAGGCCCCCCACCCCCCGGGCCACTTGCTTTGGCATCATGCTGATTGACTATCACCAGATGGCAGGGCTGTTGCCAGCAGGAGATCTGATAGTCTGATTCTGGTCACTGCATCATGTAGGAGACACCTCGGGTGTTACTAATTCTTCCTGTGCTATGACTGTTCAGGCTAGCGGACATTTGAGGGGAGGGTGACTCTTTGCAGTAAGTAGGACACTTTGGGTCACGAGTTATTGATGCCAAATGCGTGATCAGGAAGGCTGGCATTAGCAAGAGTCATCCCTCAGGAAAGCCAGAAGGTCACATCAGTCTCTTGAGGACAGAGAAGGACACTGTCTCTGTCAAGGCAGTACCCATTATTCCGTGTGTGTAGGTGTACCAGAGATGGATGTCCACTCTGGTCCCTGATGTTCCTGGGTAGACACTGTGCAGGCTGGGCAATAACTTGGGGGTGATGACCTCCCCATCCTGCACATACTTGCACAGAGGGAACCACATTGTGAGAGAAGAAGAGAGGTAGGGCTGCTAAGCCTGGGTGAGTGGGTGGGTCTGTGCAGTCCTCAGTGCTGCCTTTAGTCCCTGGAGCCCAGAACTGTCAGAAAGTTGAGGGGAGTGAGGCATAGGCTGGCCTGTTTTTTCCTTCTTCTTTTTAAGTGTTCTGCTGTGATGTGTGTGTGTGTAGTGTGCACGTGGTGTGGTTTGGATTGTAGACACAGCTGACTTGGTCAGTTTTGGCGGCAGACTACAGGATGTTGGATTGCGTCACCCTTGGAGAGAGAGCGTGGATAAATATGCAGTCTTCTCGGCAAAGCACAGCATGCCTTCAATTTGGTGATTTTCAGTTTCACCTAAAAATAAGCTCCAGATTGTTCCGTCCTGCATTTGATCCTCAGGCTGCCACCAGTAGGAAGGAAGACCGAACTATGGAGTCCTGTGTAAGGTGGGCAGGTGGCACCTCCGATGTGGCAGCAAAGTTTGAAGATGGTGTTTGTGGACTTAAAAGTGAACAGTGGAGTCATGACAGGCAGGGTGGGAGCATAGGGAGCACAGCTTCCCCAGCCTGTGGAGAGCTTCCTGAAGAGAGGAGAGGAGGTGGAGAGCCATGATGCATAAAACGTTAGGGGTTGGTGCCAGGAAACAGGACCACTGTCTGGGAGGGCCTGACGTGCTGGGTAGGGGCCAGGTAAGGTCAGAGGCCAGCAAAGAGGCAGAGAACCAAGGGAGTCCAGGACTTCAGGGAAGCTGCTCAGCTTAAAAGGGCGACTGAGGGCCAAGAGATGCTCAGTGGTAAAGGTGCTGTCCAGGCTGACCACCTAAATTCGGGGCCTGGAACTGGAATCCATGCGGTGGAAGGAGAGCACTGACAGACTGTCCTTTTACCCCTACACGAGGCGTAGCATGTGTGAGCCCCACCCCACCCCCACTAAATAAATAATTGATTGAACAGCGTGAAAGAAGGGGGAGTGTAGGCGTGGCTCAGGTGGTAGCTTGCTCACCTAGCATGCACAGAACCCTGGGTTTGATCTCCAGCATGACATAAAGCTAGGTATGGCAGCATATGCCAGTGATTCCAGTACTGGGGATGTGGAGGCCAGAGAATTAGAAGTTCAAGGTCATTCATGGCACCACAGGTTCAAAGCCAGCTTGGGCCTGTCTCAAAACAAAACAGCAACATCTACACCCCCACTCTAAACACACACACACACACACACACACACACACGCACGCACGCACGCACACACGGGGGGGGGGATTCAGAAGTAACCAGTGGGGCTGGAATTGAGCCTGGGGGGAGGCCTGAGTGCCAGGCAAGGGGGTAGGAGTTGGGGGAGAGACTCTATGTATTGTTTCTGATATGGGCACCAAGAAACATTTGCAGCCCTAAAGGGCCTTGTGGGTGGGTAAATTGGGACGTGGCCCTGGGGATGGTAGTAGGAAGGAGGAAGGGTCATTGTGAAAAATAGGCTCCACCAAGAGTCTTTGGAGAAAACAGGTTTAGGGCAAACCTGGCTTGTTTGCAATGGGTAGAAGAGTCACACTGGGTCTGGGCTGCTTGGGACTGGTGTTAGTATCCTAAAGTAGATTGGGGTTTTGTCCCATTGGCTAGAGAGGTACTGGCCAAGGCAGCAGGGTGTGGCTGTGGAGAGCTGACCTCTAGGTGCTGAGGAGGCTCTTGTGTAGCCGAAGCCACAGGGCACCCCCTCCCCCGACTCCTTTGCCCACTGTGCCGTGTCCACATTTACAAGGGTGACACTGCTCAGAGCTCCACTGTGGAGCTGCGGACACAGAGACTCCTGTGTGCCTTCCTGTCCCTGGTGGTGGTTAGGGCATAGGCTCTGAGGAAGAAAGGGATATGGTTCTGCCCAACATGGAGTTCTGTGGGCCTGGAAACCTGCCCTCAGGGTGACATCTTACTCACACTCTCTGGGAAGCCACAGAAAGTGTCCGCACAAAGTTGGGTCTGCCTTGACCCTCTTTTGGGCTTTATTGTTTCTTTTGAGAGTGCTACAGCCCAACTCCAGTGGTCCCTGATCACCTGGGTCCTGATGCCCACATTTCTGCAGAGGTCAGGCTTCCATATTCTCTCCCAGAATCCCCTTTCTAAATAGTCATGACTCGGGTAGGGTTGGAGACCCCAGAGCCTGAGGTCTCCAGATACTACCACTGAGTAGTGGAAAGTGGATGTGGAGGACCACCAGCCCATCCCGACAGGGAGGGCTCTCTGATGTTTCAAGTAGGGGCTGGAAAGGGTCGATGGGGGGAGGGTAGCATTTCTGCCTTTCTCAGAATTGGCTGCGTGAATATACACTTTCTAACCTGTATCTCTTGGTCTCTTTGAAGATTCAAGGGAGGGCTAGGGTTCTAGCTCAGTTGGCAGTTCCTGCCTAACATGCATAAAGCCCTGAGGTCCCCTGCATCACATAAACCTGCACGGAGTGCATGCCTATAATATCAGCTTGCAGGCGGTCGTGGAAGCAGAGTTTTTAAGCTGAATATCATTCTTGGTTATGTAGCAAATTCAAGGTTATCTTGAATGCTGTGAGACCCTGTTTAGTGAATAGATCCAGGGAACTGGGTGTGGTGATACATTCTCATTATCCTAAATGCCTTGGAGACTGAAGCAGTTGGGTAGTAAGTTCAAGGCCAGCCAGTCTCAAAAGTGAGGGAACTCAGGGGCCCACTGGGGAGTGTGGCATGGAGTTGGAACCCTGGTGACTTCAAGGTGTGTCCTGGGTGGTGCTGAGAACTCAGGCACCAGGGTCAGGGCCGGTCTGACACAGATACCTCCTTTCCCAGGTTGTTCACCGTCTTGCTGTGCTTCTCTTGGCAGAATGCAGAGCCTGAGCCCCGGAGCCTGTCCCTGGGCGGTCATGTGGGGTTTGACAGCCTCCCTGACCAACTGGTCAGCAAGTCAGTCAGCCAGGGCTTCAGCTTCAACATTCTCTGTGTGGGTAAGTAGTGGCCTGGCCAGGGGCAGAAGATGGTGCTCACTGTGCTGGCCACCTATCAAGCTGGGGAGACCTTGGGTTCAGGCTTTGGTCTTGCCTCTGCCAGGATCAAGAGCAGGACTAGATCCAGGACCTGACTCAGTCGCCACAAAGAGGAAACAGAAGTGGGTCCATGAAAGTGCTGCCTACACTGGGTATTTATCATAGAAATTCAGTCACTAGTTCCTTCATTTATTAAAAAACAAACACTGGCAGGACTGGAGAGATGGCCCAGTTGTTAAGAGCATGGCTGCTCTTCCAGAGGACCTTTGTTCCCAGCACTGATGTCAGGTGGCTCACAACTGCTTATAGCTCCAAGGACCTGACACCCTCTTTCTGGCTCCCATTGGTACCTGCACATACACGCACATGCACACATAAATAAAAATAAATCTTCAAACACTTTTCTCCTTACTGTGTGACAAGGATACAGGGTTGAACGAGACCCTGCTTGGTCACCAGATCACAGGGTAAATCTCATGTGCACTTTGGAACAAACACAACCTGACTGGGGAGGCTCCAGGTGTTCAAGGCCCAGGACTCCCAGAGGCACAAAGACTATGCAGGGCCTTCTGCAGGTATCCCTTGGGAAGAGGCTACAGGGACAGCTCCTGGTGGTTTCAGGTCCTGTTCCTGTGGAGTCATGACCGCCTTGGCCTAAGAAGGGTGATGTTCAGAACAGGCTGTGTGTTTTGTGACTAGGTCCCCTTGAAGCCTAGTCTCAAAACACAGTGGTATCTCCATAGCCTGGTACTGCCTTTTTCCCACTCCCTGGGGAAAAGTCTCATGCCTTGCCTAGCCATGTCTTACATCAAAGGCTTCCTTTATGACTTTCTTCTGAATATTGTTTTCTTTCTTCTTTTTTTCTTTTCCTTTCCCTTTCTCCCCCCACCCCTTTTAAGAATGTATTCATTTTATTTGAGGGAGCACATGGCAGTGGAAGTCAGGGGACAACTTGGAGTCACTTCTCCCCTCCTACCATGTGGGTCCCAGGGATTACACTTGGGTTGCTAAGCTTGGCAGCAAGTGCCGTTACTCACTGAGCCATTTCACAGACCTTTTTGGGCTTGCTTCTCTTCTCTCATTCTGGAGTTGAGGGTCTTTGAGCCCCCCTCATCTAGCTGCTGGCTAGAGATGGCCCTGGTTCTAGACTTTGATATTCTCTCTCTCCCTGCTGTTTCCACTCACCAGGGGAGACTGGGATCGGCAAGTCCACGCTAATGAATACACTCTTCAACACAACTTTTGAGACCGAGGAAGCCAGCCACCATGAGGAATGTGTACGCCTGCGGCCTCAGACCTACGATCTCCAAGAGAGCAACGTTCATCTCAAACTGACCATCGTGGATGCTGTGGGCTTTGGGGACCAGATCAATAAGGATGACAGGCAAGAGGCGGGAAGGGCGGCTCCACCTAGCCTTGGCCATCCCAAACTGATTGATCCTCATCCTAAAACTTCCCAATCCCTTCCTGCTTCAAACTGCCCCATATATATAGTGCTAAGGTGACCTAGGAAGGCTGTGGGGGAAGGGCTGAGATCTTGGGCCATTGACAGACCAGTTCTTCCTCTAGGAGGGTATAAGAAGGGGTCAGTCAGCCTCCTGTACTAGATAGGGCAGGGAGGAGAGTGGGGATACCCTGGCTTGGGCTCTAGGCTGCCCTTGCTGCAACCAGCGTCTGCCTCCCAGGTGATGAAGTTGTCTGTAGTTACAGGCCCATAGTTGATTACATCGATGCGCAGTTTGAAAACTATCTCCAGGAGGAGCTGAAGATCCGCCGTTCCCTCTTTGACTACCATGACACGAGGATCCATGTGTGCCTCTACTTTATCACACCCACTGGGCACTCCTTGAAATCCCTGGATCTGGTGACCATGAAGAAACTAGATAGCAAGGTACGTAAGTCACCTGACGTCTGCCATCTACCTCTGAAAGGCAGTGTGGTGACTGCAGTTGGTCACCCTGTGGTCAGCTTGGTCCTCACTGAGCTTTTCAGAGCTTCGTTCTCAGCAACTTCCTTCTCACTTGGAGCTCTGCTTTTTGTCTGTTTATTTTCCTTATACAATGACGAACCCCTCCTGCAGAGCCTCTGCCCAGAGTGTCCCTCTTCCATCCAGCCTCTCATCTCTAGTTCCTCTCTTCACTTCTTTCCTGTCTGACCTGGCTCCCCCTGGCTCTCTTCTGAGCCACTAGGAGAGGAGAATGACTCAGATGGGATTGTGAATGACGGTAGAGAGCAGTTTCATGGGGTGTCAGCAAGGTCTGGGGGTCCTGGAGGACCCGGGCCCTCTTAGTTCTCTCAACCCTTGTGACTGTCTTTCCATCTCAGGACTTAATTGTCACCACGAAAAATAGGGTAACCTTGGCCTGGGAGAGTTCCAGGTTTTTTCCATAGCTGCTATTCCTGGGTCATCTTGCCTGCTTAGTGGTTGGCTTGGCCACCACTACTGTTTCTGTCTGACCCAAGGCCAATTTGGACCTTTAGAGCATCCTGGGTCCAAGTTGAATATGCCCCTGGTGGTCAGATGGGGTGCTGGGAAGTTGTACTGGGGAGCTGGGGCCCAGAGAAGCATTACAGCTACTTGTTAGGGTTCCTGATATCACAGTGGCCGCAACTGATCATCGGAGCCCCTGTCTTCCTGATTTTCTGCTCTTAGTGCTTGTCCATGGTCAGTGATCATTACTCAAGATAGGCAACTAACCTGCTGCCCCCGACCTTCACAGGTGAACATAATTCCCATCATTGCCAAGGCCGACACCATCTCCAAGAGCGAGCTCCACAAGTTCAAGATCAAGATCATGGGTGAGCTGGTCAGCAATGGAGTCCAGATCTACCAGTTCCCCACAGACGACGAGGCTGTTGCAGAGATCAACGCAGTCATGAATGTGAGTGCTGGGCAAGGGTCTCGGGGCTCCCTAGTCAGAGGGCTTGAGGACGCCAGTCTGAGATGGGACTCAGCTTCCCAGAATGTTATCCTGCACAGCGTGGGTAGGCGTGTATGCCTCCCAGGCCTGAATTCTGTGGGTTTGCACTAAGGGTCCCCTGATCTGCGTGTCACAGGTAAACTCAGGGTGGGAATGTGATATGTGAAGGAGCAAGTACATATATGACCAGGTGTCACAGGTCCTGTCAGAGAACTGTGCTGGCCTGAGACGAACACACCACAGACAGGAAAACCCAGTCGGGAGTCTAGAGCATTTCTCTGAGAGAGACAGGAACTGAGCCTCTAACCCTTGTAAAAGAGCCTTGTCAAAGGCGGTGGCCCCTCCCTAGGGTGCAGGGGTGTGAGAAAGTCTGCCCCCTTGTTCAGCACAGCGCTCACATATATACCTGGGCCCCCTTTTAGGCACACCTGCCTTTTGCTGTGGTGGGCAGCACAGAGGAGGTGAAGGTGGGCAACAAGCTGGTTCGAGCTCGACAGTACCCTTGGGGAGTGGTGCAGGGTGAGTGTGGGGCGAGCCTCTCCCCAGCTGGGGCCTCAGCTCAGTCTCCTCGTGTCCTGCCAGCCGAGGCCCTAACCACTGTCCTGCTACCCTCTGCCCATCTTCATGGCTGCCTCACTCTGGAGCTCCCTGAGGCACGTGGCCACTCTCCTGCTGTTCCTCTGCCTGTTTCCATGCCTGTTTCATGCTGTGGAACCGTGAAGGCATCCAACTACTCTCTGGCTGTACCCCCAACCATCTGCATGTTTCTTTTGCTCTGGGGAACCACCAACGCCCCCTGACCATTGTCTTGCTCTCCCGCTGCCGATCTGCACACCTGCCTCATGCTGCTTTGGAGCCACCAAGTCACCCAAGTCCTGCCCCGCCGTCCCCCACCTATCTGCATGCCTGTCTCATGCCTCTCACGCCCCTGCTTTCAGTGGAGAACGAGAACCACTGCGACTTCGTGAAGCTGCGGGAGATGTTGATTCGGGTGAACATGGAGGACCTGCGGGAGCAGACCCACAGTCGGCACTACGAGCTCTACCGACGCTGCAAGTTGGAGGAGATGGGCTTCCAGGACAGTGATGGTGACAGCCAGCCCTTCAGGTGACAGCCTGCGCTGTGCTGCCTCAGCCACTTGTCACGCCAGCACTTGCTCTCTTAGGCCTTGTCAGCCCGAAGGCAGAGGCTGGCGGGAGCCCCGAATCCTCTTGTCCCCAGCATCTCCCTGACTCTGTTGCTCTTGACAGCCCCACTTCTACCTTTGGCCTCTCCTTTGGGTCTCCACAGCCTCCAAGAGACATACGAGGCCAAGAGGAAGGAGTTCCTGAGTGAGCTGCAGAGGAAGGAGGAAGAGATGAGACAGATGTTCGTCAACAAAGTGAAGGAGACAGAACTTGAGTTGAAGGAGAAAGAACGGGAGGTGTGTGTCAGGCCTCGCTGCGGAGAGGAAGTGCCAGGGCAGGCTGGCTGATGGGGAGGTAGGGGACCTAGTCTTCCCATACCCAGTTGCCTCCCTTCTTCCCCCTCCTCCCCAGCTCCATGAGAAGTTTGAGCACCTGAAGCGAATCCACCAGGAGGAGAAGCGCAAGGTGGAGGAGAAGCGCAGGGAGCTGGAGGAGGAGACCAACGCCTTCAACTGCAGGAAGGCGGCCATGGAGGCCCTGCAGTCTCAGGCCTTCCATGCCACTTCACAGCAGCCCTTGAGGAAAGACAAGGACAAGAAGAAGTAAGTGGCATCTCCCCTGGGCTGTCTCCTTACACCCGCTCTCTGCCCCCGGCGTCACTGCTCAGCCTCACGCTCACCACTTTCTGCCTTCACTGCCTCTCTTGCTCTCCACTGTGCACCTCCATCTTGTTCTCCACTGTGCACCTCCATCTTGTTCTCCACTGTGCACCTCCATCTTGATCTCCACTGTGCACCTCCATCTTGATCTCCACTGTGCACCTCCATCTTGTTCTCCACTGTGCACCTCCATCTTGCTCTCCACTGTGCACCTCCATCTTGCTCTCCACTGTGCACCTCCATCTTGATCTCGCACTAGTCTTCTCGCTGTCTCACCGTCTGGATCTCTCTCTCTCCTCCCTCATCCTCCCCCAGCATCCTCAGCATCTGAGTCCTCTTCCCTGCTTTTGTGGTGAAGGAGCTGGGTCACATGGGCAGCCAGTAGCAGGGGACAGCCAAGCAGGTATAGCCACAGGATATTGGGACAAATCTGTCTGGCCAGGAGAGGGACGAATGTGGGACTGTCCTCCTTTCCTGCTGGCTTCTAAAAGACCCTGTGCTTCTGCTTGAGCAGCTGTGGCACATGTCCCCTAGGCCTCTGAGGCTGGGGTTGTGGAACTCATATTAGCGGGTAGATGGTGACGCATGACAGCAGGGACTCATCAGGACAGGCCAGTCACCACTGCCCCGGTCCCTGTCATCTCCTCTATGCAGCTGCTTTGGAAGGCTTGCAGGACTGGAAGTGTGGTGGCTCCCTGCAGGGCTCCAGTACTGTGCCGAGAGTGGGGCTGTTCCTGCTGGAGGGTCTGGAGCCGTCCTGTAGAGTAGAGAGTGACAGGAGACAAGGAGGCTCTTCCCAGGTGTGTCAGCTTAAGGACACAGAATTCCCAGTCATGTTTCCTTAGCGGTTTTCTTTGCTTGCCCCACCCCTCACCCCTGCTGCCTCCTTTTCTTTGCCTTCTTTTTCAAAAAACAAAAACAAAACTATATTATTATTATTATTATTATTATTGTGATTGTAAGGACTAAGCCCAGGGCCTTGCACACGCTAGATAAGTTCTTTACCACTGATCTACATCCCAGCCATGTTGGTGTCCCCCGCAGTCCTTTCCTGTGTTCTTATCTGGAGTCTGGTACCCTGTCTGCGGTGACTCCCAGTCTCCTGCTCTATTTCATTCAGAAACTCAGGTGGTCCCATCTGCCTCAGCATCTGGGTGCATGAACTCAACTATGTCCTGCCTCACCCCTAGGTGGCATTCCCTGACACACACACACACACACACATACACACACACACACACAATCTCGATCTCTCTCTCTTACACTTTCCTGCCTCAGACTTAAAGTGCTTCTTCCTGGGGCAGACACAGCACTTAGGACTAGATGCACACTGTGGTTCCCAAGGTTTGCTCTCTGCTTTGGTGCAGGGGTTCCCCTTTTGTGGTCTTCCCCATCCTGATGCCTGACAGCCCATCCCAGCTACCTATTCCCAGAGGATCCTAGGCCCATTTGCCCTCAGTCTGGAGAATTTTACACTTGCTTTCAGCCCTGGTCCTATGCTCAGCCCTTGGTTTGGTGAGTGTGGAGGTTGAGGTGCAACCAGTGTGGGCTTTAAGTTGGCAGCAGAAATGACCCTCCTTGTGAGGGGGACATGGGACAGAGTCTGTATATTCAAAGTGACTTTGCCCTGCTCCCTGCCAGCGTGGCCCAGGCAATCTTGTGAAAGTAGACAGTGTCCCCAAATAAGAAACTAGGAGAAGCCTCAGCGCCAGCCAGGTGTGGTAGCATATGCTTCTGTTCCCAGCTTTGGGGAGGCAAATGCAGGAGGGTTGCTCTTAACTTTGAGGTCAACCTGGGCTATGTAATGAGTTGCTAACTAGCCTGGGCTACATAGCAAAGATCCTGTCTCAAAAAAGAAAAAAGAAAGAAAGAAAAAGGGAGGGAGAGAGAGAGAGACTACAGAGCAGCTTAGGGTAGAACCCCCATTGTGAAGAAACAGCTCTCAGTAGAAGCCTGCCTGCCCCAGCTGTCCGGTCTCCTGGAATATTGTTTCCCAGATCTGGGTCTGAAAGGCCAGCGCTTTCTGTTGGGTGGTTACACTAGGGAGCTTCAGTCAGTTTAACCCTGGGAGAGGGGACTCTGTACTTGTGAAGCTAGAGTTGGGGTTCAGGAGTCACTGGCCCCGTGGGATAGGGTGGGCCAGGCTTGCATCTGGGGAGTGGGTGTTTTCATGGCCATTTCATGGCTTTACTTGGTTTGTACTCAGTCTTTAAATTTTAATCAATTTTTGCGAAATTACTTCCCAATCAGATTTTGACCCTCAGCCCGGGACGCCACAAACTGAAGCGAGTTCCCTGCTTTGCTCGTCACAAATGCCAAACTGACTGCCCTTTCCCAGTGTCCACCTTGCTGTCTTTTGCTTCTGTTTGATTTGGTCTGCGTATCTTTTAATGTGTCTGTTTTTGTTTTGTTTGTTTTGTTTTATTTTTCAGTTAAAGCACGCACAGACTTACATGTCAAGAGCGGACTTTAGACTATCATGTGTTAAGTTGCTTGAGTTACACCTTGTGGCCCTTCTCTCATAACATGGTGTGAGGATGGACTGGGAGCCGGTACAGACTCCAGTGTTTACAGCCTTGCCTTGGCCCCCCGGCCGGCCCCCCGGCTGCCTGGGCCTGGCCAGCCACCCCTCTCTATGCAAACGTGTCCGAGCCATGAATGCTGGAATCCCAAACTGACAAGGTTTATTTTTTCCAGAGCCGGTGGCTGGTCTTCCATTTACAGTGTCACTATTCCCTGACGGAGCAGCTGTGTGCCACTCCAGTGATGGCTCCAGCCAGTGGTGACTCATGTGGTGCCCTAGGCGTGGCCTGTGGTCCGGTATATACACACTCGCTGCAGAATTCGCCTGTTTCCCCTTCATTTTCATTTTTCTAACCTAGAGCTTAATTTTAATAATTTTGAAACACTTCTAAATTTTTATTTTGGCACCAGTATAAAGACAAATAATATCTATCTTTCCCATTATTTTTATAAGTAACACAGATTCCCTGATTTTTTTTTTTTTTAAACTAAAAAGATCTCTAAACCTTCTTACATAGAAAGCAGCCCTATAACATATAGGGAGAGGTGGGAAATAAAGTTCCTATTCTGGCAGTGTTTGGAACTTCTTTCTGGACTGCAGTGGACCCCGAACAAGACCACGCCCAGCGTTTTTACTGTGAATGTAAATGGAACAGCAGCCCAAACCCTTGTCTCTGCCCTCGAGGTGCTACCTGTGCAGGGACCAAGTGCATGTGTGTTAAGTGTCTGACTCCAAATAAGCCACCTGCTCCCGACCAGCGTGCTCAGCTCATCAGGGAAAGGGCTGCCATGTCAAGGTCATTGTTACTTCTTTCCTGGCCGAGTCATGGTGCAAGAAAATAACAGTGTCTGAAGTATTAGGACAATTTGGCCGGGGAGAAAAACAAAAGCTTGGGGGCTAAGAACGTCCCCTCCAGCTCTGGCTTCCAGGTGAACACTTGTAAGAAAGTGGCTGCCAGGTGGGATGGTGCAGGCCTGTGATGCCAGCACTTGGGAGGTGGTGGGAAGCCAGAGACAGGCCTCAGTTACACGGTGAGGTTGAGGCCAATTTGGGCTACATGAGACCCTGTCTCAAAAATAAAAGCAAGGAAAGTACTGAGAAAACCCATTCTGCTCTGCTCCTGGTGGTTTGCCAGCCTCGGGGTTGTTGGTGCAGCACCAGCTGGACACCAGGCTCCCCAGAAAGATCGGCTGCATCCCGAGGAGCTGATCACCCAGGGGCTTCTCACTGAGAGCCTGAGGGGTCCACACTGATTCATGCTGCATTCAGATTTTTACGCCCCCATCTCCCTCCACCGTTTCCCCCTTCCTGCCAGGCCTGCCTCTATTCGTCCAGGACCAGTCTGGCTTCTTCTTGTCCTGAGATGATGGCTCATTCAGAGTGAACTGGAGGGGAAGGTTGTTGTGGGTGCACTGTGACAATACCTCCCCTAAGGCCGCTGTGCTGTGAGAGGCTCCACACAGCAGGAGAAATGCATTTAGTGATGCTCTAAGGAAAAGATCCTCTGTGATCAGGGTGCATCCTGGCCAAAAGTCTGGACTCTCAAACTATTTAGAGAGGCCGTTTTAAGCAAAAGGACCCAACATTCAGCTCAGGCCTTGGAAGCCTTGTGAGCGTCACAGCTAGTCCACCTCTGGTCCTGGCAGAGCTGATGCTGAACTTCATGTCTGAGGCAGAGGTGAACTGCAGGCCAGCCGCTCCTCTTAGGGAAATTGTATGTCTGACGGTGTATTCACTTAGGTTCAGCCTGACCTTCAGAGCAGCCTCTCCTAGCCAGTCTATTTTGAGACTAGGATGACCCAGCGGGTCCACTGCTGGCTCAGAGTCCATGCTGGGGACTCTGGAGCCAACAGATCCTACCACCGGCACCTGCAGCGCAGCAGCCACAAACTCAGGCATACTGGAAGGCTGTTATGGTCAGTGCCTACCTTTTGGCCCAAAGCTTGCTGGCATCCCTGGGGAGACTTGACTTGCATTTTCTAGGGTCTAAGTCGCTCCCCATGGATCCCGTCAGTCATGGCAAGCTTTTCCCCTGCTGCGTGGAATTTTGTTATCTTTAGCTGAGGTTAAATTAATCCTTGGTGTGCAAGAAAAACGTGAAGCTTGCCCCTCGAGGCTGTGACTCCCTCCTCTTTCTTCCCTGTCGTTTGTTGGCGTCATGGGACCGTCATAGGATCATGTTGACATTTGCTGTTGAGTCTCCCTTGAGCCATTTCGTGTTGTGGTAGAGTCACCGTTTAAGATACGGTTCAGACCTGGACTTCTGAGAGAGAAAAGATCCAGTTAAAAATCATGCCAAATCCTAGGCACTCAGGAGGCTAAGCTAGGAGAATCACAAATTCAAGGCCAACCTGGGCCACTTAGCAAGACCCCATGTTAAATTTAAAAAAACAAAATGCTGGACAGCTTGCCTAGCATGATTGGGGACTGATTTCTTTCCCAAGTCAACAGCCACCGAGCAGCTGTATCCCAGGCCAACCAGGGTGTGTGTTCCCCGTCCTGCTGGGAGGCCTGAACCTTGTGGTTGTACAAACTGGCCCTGTGTGTGTTCGTGTGTGTGTGTGTGTGTGTGTGTGTGGACTCCCCTTGTCTGGGGCTCCTACTGGGTAAGCAGCCCAGGAAAGCCAGCTTGCTTGTCTATGACGTTACCATGCATCTCTAAAACCACTTCAGTTGTTAATCCATTTACTCCTCCACCCATTGACTTGTTTCTGTTCCTTCCCATCCACTTTGTACTCATTTGTTTTCATTAAATTTTGCATTTATTTTGAGTTTTTTACAGTGTCATTTTTGGGCAGTAGCTTTTCTGATTCAAGTTTCTTGAGCATATTAATATCCCGCAGTTGTGGCCTGTACAGCCTGCTTCTGCTGTGACCTCTGTGGGGGCAGAGCTCCCGACAGAACTGTTTCCTAGCGAATCATGGTGCAGACACTGTGAAGAGTTGCAGGTCCGAGACTGAGGGAAGGCAGACCCTGCCCTCAAGGAGGGTACGTCTTTGTTCTGAAAGCTTGGCTTGAGACAGCTCACCCTGTGTGTGCTTAGTTCTTGTAATGACATGCTCTAACGTCTCTAATCCTTACCATCCTATGGTCAGATACTAGTATTGTCCCCAGTTAGTAGGGGAAGTCCCAGAGGTTCCATAATTTCCCAAGGCAGCACAGCAAACAAGTGGACGAGCTGCAATTTGAATATTGGTTATCTGTATCCTTAATTCCTGAGCTAATGCTGGACATCCCATCAGGATCACCGGGCAAGAGTGTAAATGGGGTCATTGTTCGAAGTGTGGTGGTGTGGGCTGTGGGCCCTAGATGGTTTTCTGGAGGTGGGAAGCCTTGGGAGACAGAAATGTTTGGATGAAGGCTGGACTGGTGGTTGGAGAGAACAAGCTGCCTCTGGTCTTTCTCCCATCGCCACCTCCTCCGGCCTCAGGCCTTCGCTAGCCCCTGGCCCTCCCAGGTGGGGACAGAGGAAGGTGGATTGTGTTCAGAGTAGCCAACCATGGGGATTCCCATGTGTGTGTTGAGACAAGATGAGTTCCTGGTAAACAACGAAAAGGCAAGCAGAACAGACCCCTGATGGAGTCTTAGCAATGGCAACATTTGCTGCCCAAGAGGAGCTCCTTCATCTGTAGATACGCCAGCAACAGGCCACCTCCTCCTCTGGCACGGGGCTCTCAGGGTTGCCTTCTTTCTCCAGGAGCTTAGGAATGGGATCAACGGGGACATTTTACAGCTAGAGCCACCTAGTTGACAGGCCTAGGTGCTATGCAGCAGACACCCAGTGCCGCAGGATCCCCACGCTGGTGTGAACCCTTGAACTCCTGTCCCATCCACACAGTGTCTTGCACATGTTGGCCTCTGGATGGAGCAGCAAAAGAGACCAGTCCGCATATTACCTTGCCGCCTGCCGATGTAGCTGGAGACATCTGAATGTCAGCTTTCGGGTCACTGGCAGCAAATACCCTTATCCCTGTTTTCTCCTAGTCTTCCCAGGACCTACCTGGAGGACAGTTATGACAGGGTCCAGAGGACAGGGCTCCAGGTATATATGACTAGCAAGAGGTGCACAAGAGTCCTTTAATAGAAAGGTCTCCAGCAGCACTGAAACCATTCGAAGTGTGCTTTTACAGACACCTCAGACAGCCGGATGTGGTGCCATGTGCCTGCAATCCCAGAACTCCAGAGGTTGAAGCAGGGGGAGGGAAGGGTGTACTGGTGAAATGACTCACCAGGTAAGCCTGCCAACTTGAGTTTGGTTCCCCAAGACCCATGAAGTGGAAGGAAAGAATTAACTCCCGCAAATTGTCCTCTGATGTCCACAGAATAAATAAGTGTATGTGTGGGGAAGCTCCAATAAGCAAAACCAGAGGAAAGGCAAAATGGTACCCTGCCTCACAGTGTGGCCTGTCTGGTCCCTGACCACACAGTGAGCTTCTGGCAACACACTGTACCCACCCAATGGCTTAGCACATTTATAAAAGAGCTGCTCACAGGGACAGAGTTTCATGGGCCACCTCTAAATTTATGGCCCAGTCATTCAAGTCCCCAGCTTGGGGACTGACACAGATCCAGCCGGCATCTTGGCTAGCTGGGCTGCACAGCTTTAAGACTGGCTTCAGACAGGCAGCTGGCTTCTTCCCTGCCATCTGTGCAGGTGTCCTGGCTGCAGGGCAGGCTGGGCTCAGTCACCCAGCCAGCAGCACAGGACTGCATCCCTTCTGCATGTGTCACAGAAGCATCCTTAGCATGAAGTCCTCTGCACGAGGGGCTTCAGAGTCCACGGGGGAAATGGCGCTGCTCTCTCATCCGGACCTGAGGAGGTGTAAATCAGAACCACGTGGGGACGCTCAGATCCAGAGACTTCCCAGCTTTTAGAGGGAGCCGGGTGACAGGTACAGGAGCGGTCAGTGCCAGGATGATCACGTGGGTCATTTCGAGCATGTTACGACTACCCTCCTTCGTAGCACTAACTGCATCCTAGGAGCCTTCATCTCCAACCTCAGTTAACTGTCATTAATCTGCCATTCCATCCTAGTCTGTCCTGAGAGCTGCTGACACGGCCCCCACTCCGTGCCTGTCATCAAACACTCATGTAGAAGGAAGGTCTGGATGTTATAATCCTCAATATTAAGCACCCGGATCCTCCGCCCATTCCCGATCATGGCCATCAGACTGTCTGTATTCTTGTTCCTCACTACCAAAACCCCTTCCCTGTGAGTTCAAGGTTTGCCATACCGGGGAACACAGAGCATGATCATATACAGAGCATGGCCTACGGTCAGCGTTTTGCCGTAGCTGGCGTGCTCAGTGCGTCTTCTGGAGCCCACAAAGGAACAAGGGCCATGGGTACCCCATTGAGCACAGAACGTGTCAGCCAGAAGGGCCAAGCTGATGTCTACATGTGCTTTCTTTAGCAGATCAGATATAGGAGCACAGCAGTCGGGCATGAGCCTCTCCAGCTCTAAGGTGATGATGACCAAAGCCAATGTGGAACCCTTGAACTGCAGCAGCTGGTGGCCCGCCATCCAGTGCTGCAGCTGCCTGGTCAGGGACGCGACGTGGAGGGAAGGATTCCTCTGAGGCTGCAGTCCCGCCACATGGGGGCCAGCTCAGGACCATCAGGGCGTGGAACTGGAGACCATGGTTGTTCACGTTAGGACAGAGCCCCACCCTCACCCCCTCGTTTTCACATATCAATAACCAAAAGTGCAAACAGTTTCTGTTTCCTTCAGGGAGCATCTGGTGTGGCCCATCCCTTTTCATTCCCAGATAGTCCGATACGTGACATGGTCACTCTGAGGCTACAGCATATAGGTGGCCATGCTTGGATTCTGAAAAATGTGGACCTACTGTTCAAGATAAAGGGAGCAGGGAAGTGACCTGAAGAGAAACCTTCAACCTTGTCAACAGCACCAGTTTTACCATAACGAAACTGCCCGTAGCGATTTAACCTTCATGCTTCATAACAGACCAAAACACCATGCCATTTCCTCATTTGCATAATTTTGCCTTACTAACAGAAGTACATCCTGAAGGATGGCCTCCATCCTCCCTCCCCCAACTAAAACCAACACGAACCCGGTGTCTGATATTTTTTTAAGTGCCAGATCAATACGGTCTAATGCCTCGAGAAGGATTGTGTGTAGGTGAATAAAGACAGCTAATGAATGTGTGTAGAGTATAGCAAAGGCAGACAGATATTTCTATACGACATTCATAGAACGGAAAGTTAAATATTTTTGCAGTGTATATTTTAAGAGAGCAACTGACCATAATAGTGCCGTCCAAATGTCTGTCAAGTGAATTCTGTGTCCTTTAGATGTGAGAGTCTGGTGGAATGGCGTGGGATATAAAGAGAACATTTTTCTTCACTTTTCCGTATGTTGTGAGTCACCTCGCCGTGGTGCATGTGCAAGGACGTATTGCACGCCTGTGCCTTGCCTGTTCTGTGTTGTAAGCAGCTGTTCCAAAGGCACAGATGAGTCTCAGGGAGACTCCATAAACTTCCTGCTTATTATAACCCCGAAGCCCAGCAATGTTCCCACGTGGAGGTCCTAGTGAAGTCATCCAGAAGAGGCAGCCCCTTCCTCCGCAGCTCCCCCCTCCCCGGGGTCCAGCCAGAGCCACATGCTTTATGAAGTCTTTTACACGTGGAATTGACTGTAAAAAGAAAATAAAAGAGGCCAAAGCCCTATATCACATGACAGTAGCTTTTGTTTTCTTCTCCATGGGGACTGGGGCATCCACAAACCAAGCAGATTGGTCTTCTAGTGGCCTGCCACCGAACACACTGCTGGAAGAAAAACCAAACCACATCTTGTGTGTCTGGCCAGTCACTAGGAAGCGGTGACTCCAGTGCACATCACATGAGCTCTCTGCAAAAGCTCTCAAGGCTCTCTGCCTGCTGGCTCGGACTCGGAGGTACTCCCCAGGCTGGGCCATCTGGGTTCAGGGTAAGAGCTCACCCCGACTTTCTCAGGAGCTGTGGGTTTTACTCACTCCTCCTCCCAATCCCAGCATAGCTACCTGGAGAAAGAAAAAAGATGCCTCCCAGCTTCGTGGACAGGCACTGTGACAAACTACCCATGGCCTTCACAGCCCTGCTCCTTCATGTTTTCCTTCCACCATATTTTCCCTTTGGTGTGTGTATGTGTGAGTGTTTATACACGTGTGTACACAAGCATGTGGAGGCCAGAGGTTATCCTCACATGTCATTCTTTAGGTACTGACTTCCTGGCCTAGAACTTGCCAGGTAGCGAAGCTAGCTGGTCAGCAACCCTAGGAATATTTCTATCTCCATGCCACCTCCCCACGGCTGGGATTATAAGCATGCCCTACCACACCTGGCTTTCTTCTACAACATGGATCCTGGGAATCCAACACAGGTCCTTACTTGCACAGCGAGCACTTTACCAACTGATCCATAGCCCCACCCCCTACCTTCAGCCTTTATTGAAGACAGTTTGGTTCTGAGAAAACTATGTCTCTGTCAGGTGTGGCAGTACACACACACACACACACACACACACACACACACAATCCCAGCACTTTGAAAGTAGAGGCAGGAGGGTCAGGAGTTCAAAGCCATCTTTGGCTACCTAGTGAATTTTAGTCTAGTCTGGCTGCACAAGACCTGTCTCAGAAAGTCAAAACTAAAATCATAACAAAAGCAAGCCCAAACAAGTATGCTTTATCCTCAGAAATCTTTGTAAACTTCCAAATGCCAAGGGCATTCATGACAGTCCTACATT